CCCGTAAACTAGCGAAGGGGAAGAAGACGGAGCAGAAGAAGGGTTAGCATACACGAAGGTACGGGCAAGGGGACAAAATGCCATCCCACTAAACGTCGATGTTGGTGTATGCCAATGGTATGGAGTACCATTGGGGGGTCTCGGTGTACTGAGACGGCACTTTGTTTGGACCTGCCAGTTGACATGGAAGGGGAACTTGGACTCTGGAGGAGAGAGGGAAGCGACTGGTGTCGTCTTCTCGTTATTGGCCAGAGAGTTACCTTCCAGACTTCGTGGAAAAACAATAATAAAAATGACACTTCGGAAAAATACAATTAAGACTCTGTTCTATGATAGAGATGGACTCGTTGTGTCATATTAAGAAAAAATAAAATAAAATAAAAAATAAAGCGAGTATTTCAGATGGATCCAACCTAGGGGGGAGGAGTCTGAAATTGGTGAATATTGGAGTTGATGAGAAGTGAGCATTTATTATTGTGTGCAATGAGGATGTCTGCGTGCGTATAGAAGAGGAGGCATGCGCACCGAGCGAAGGCAGCTGCTCGCAGGACATTCTGTTTGCGCCCGATCACGTTGAAGCATCATCAGTGCTGGAGCACAGGGACTGCTAAACGTACGAGTGGACAACACTGCCAGCTACTACCTGTTAAGACGTTCTGTTCCGGGGAGCTAGTGTTGTCGTCTTTACACAATTTTCATTCAGGCTCGTTTCTACTTGTGTTATTTTTGGCAAGTCACCTCTACACGGCAAGTCACCACTACAGCAGGATGCATGTCACAGGGAATATGCTTTCAGCGAAACCTACAATGGTAATCCCGCTTGTTCGTAGCGAATTTGCGCTTCGCCTTCACCCGCGCAACACCACACACGACGACCGATCGACTTGACTTTATCGCTGACTCCAGCTCGACAAGTTGATGGATGATGGTAACATGAACATTACAGCAGTAGTGTTGTAGGATTAGATGTGTAGGCGGAACATAGAAGAGAATGGTTCCTTCTAGAAGACGCAGGGAGTTGTAACTCCCCGCGGATGGATAAAACAGGGGACAGGATCTTACCAGCCCCTCCTTGAGCCGAGGATCCTGGCTCCCTCGATGTCAGAGCTATCGCTACCAAAGGCATCAGCTACTGCTGCTGCTGTTGTTCCACAAGAGTTAGCAAGAGAGTTCGTCTACACGGGCTTCCCAGATAGCACCGAACGTGCATACCACTACACTTGGCGTCGTCGGCAGGACACAGGGCCAGTGAGGTATTCACACTTGTTGTCCATAGCACTCGATATACATGTTTGCAGTTGATGCATCGGCACGTTGGATCTGTGGACCTGCTTCCACGCTGATTTGATGCTTTCATGTTTCCGCAATTCAGAATATGCTCTCAATGCTTGTCTCTCGGGTGTTTGTTTGTTTGCCCCGAACGTTGACACGAGAACAGCATTGCACACTTTTGGACTGGACAATGGTGAAGAGGGGGCTTTCTGTGGAAGAGAAACGGGACAAGGTACTCGGCATTTACCACTCTACCAAGGCCATCTACAGCCTCAAGGAAATAGAGAAAGCTGCATCGAAGCAAGGGGTGACGATCAACACAGTCAAGGTACGTCTGTCAAAGCAGCTGCGCAGAAGCATCGGCAACAGCCCCGATGAAGAGTACCTCGACATTGAAGCACTGCGACAAATAGTTACAGCTCACGACATTTCACGCACATCGCAGTAGCACTCAATCTCACACTCAAGGTAGGCTTTTCCCGGAGGCACCCCACCCGTGTTTGTTGTGACTCCGGGACATGGGCGGAAATCGCGTTAAACAGTGTTGTTTCCTGCGTTGTTGTCTCGCCCTTGTCCGACGACTCCGAACTATCCGGTGACGCGCAAGCTTGTCGATGGAACGACTTACGCACACAATCGTCTTTTTTGTCCTTCTCCCAACATCACCCGCCACAGGACGTGAACCAATCTCTAGTGGACGATGGCCTCGTGGATATGGACAAGATCGGTGCTTCGAACTTTTTTTGGTCCTTTCCTTCCAAAGTGGCGGTCACCAAACAAAATGTAGTCGACAACCTTGAGCAAAGCATCGCCAAGGTATGTACCGCTCCTGGCCGGATGCGCCATACTGCTCTACGAGGATCTTGCGCATACTGCATTTTGGAGTCTTTCAAGCTGCAAGGAATACCCCACGTGTACATCTACGCAGTCCATAGTGGTTGCTTGAGTCGTCCGATGTGCTCGTGTACGCCACGGTCCGTTGTACTGGTATGTATATTCGGCAGGTCGGTTTCTGTCGTCCGATGCTGACCAGCTATTGCATGGTTCATCCTACTGGCGATGTGTAGGGGTGGCGGTACCTTGTTGGAATCATCAATTGCACCCCGCACCCTCCTTTTCGCTTCGCTACAATACATTGCCGTGCTTTTGTGTAAGGCCGAAGACAACACAGCAGCCAACAAGCGAAAGATTTCGGAACTTGAAGAAGGTCGTGCGGACACAGCAAGCCGAAGAGAGAAGCTTGGACGTTTGCAGGAGAACGGCCTACGGTGAGGTTGGCAAGCGATACCCCCGCAACTGCACGATCAACTAGCTGTGCTTTCAGGTCGAGGGCCGCTTGATTGTGAGTTTGTGTACAACCTCGTAGTACCACAACGGGTTATGCTGTCAGAGACCATTGGCTTGTACGTGGTACATGTTTTCCCCCAGTGTCAGATATTTTTACTCTACGCAGCCATGTCTATGCTTGCGTCCTTGCGGTGGTTGTTCTGTAGTAATTCAAGTAGTATTTCACGTGTACCCGCCTGGGCAGTTCCGGTAAGTGCGTACAACTGATATTTTCTGCCGATCCTGCCGCTCGCCCTGCATGTTTATTTTTTGGTACAGGTTGCAGGAGCTGGAGAAGGAGTATGAATCACTCAAGGAAAATGACCCTGCAGAGCTGGAGAAGGTCACCCGTCTGACACAGGTGAGCAGTTGCGTTGAATCAGGTTCAGCGGACATAGTTTACGCCGCGCGGTGTACCCATATGTTTGTCGTTTTGGCATGGTATACTTGTAGCGCCTTCCCGGAACAAACGCTCTCTCCGTCGGGAAATACTGGCTGTCGGTGCCTCCCTCTCCTCGGTGTTGAATTTTACCCGGGCTTAAGTTTATTTGTTCTGCGGATGCCACACTGCAGTAGAGCCTGTGGCAACGAAACTGTGGAACTGTTTCTACATTGACGTTAGCATAACGGAGGAGCACGCGGAGGCACTAGATGAAGATCACATTGGATTTTGTAACCAAGACAGAAACTAATGTTTATAAAACAATCCGACACGATGACCACCACGACAAACTCGCCTTAACTCAGCGCTTTTCTCTCGGTGAATGACAACATTCAAACCCGAAGACTCAGCTGGCTCGTGTGTGGCCCGAGCGCGCGCTTATGGTTGCACCTTCCCTTCGCTGACACCGTGTTTCTTGACGATCTTCGAGTTCGAAGCCCTGCGTCCGTGACAACACTAATGTCCGCTTAGCTTGTTGTTTTACCCATCCACCCATGCATATTTTGAGATTCGTGCGCTACTAAGAATATGTTGCTCGAATCATCGTGGGTAGGCATGCAAGGACGGAGTCAATCGCTGGACAGACAATTCGTGGTGCATCAAGAGCTGGATGGTGAAGACGAAGGGAATGAGTGGGAACGACGTGGACAGATATCTGCAAATCAAGGGGGACTTTGATCATGTTTGAGTTTTTTTATTGTACCCCGTCGGGCGAACCAGATCTACGCGGTCCCCGGTTTTTGTGCCTCGTCCGGTGCGTATGCGTCCGTCCGTGGTGGGAGCTTGGCCAAGAGTGCGCGAGCCAGCTTCATGTGCAGCGAAGCAGGGGTGGTGCGGGCGAGAGGCTCTTCGTAGATTTGTTATGGCTCTCCCTGCCGCTCCCCATTTCGGTGTGCTCCCACCTGTAGCGCTGGTAGCAATCAGCGAAGCAAACACGTGCGATGAGAGTTCTAGAGAATATGTACAAAAGGTGATATTCTTGTGAGCTCACACATACATACATATATATATAGTATTGGACAATAGAAAAAAGGGTCTCGTTGTTTCAAGAATGAGTAGGTGACATTGCCATTGCTATCTATAGAAGCCCAACTCAAAACAAGTGGACTAGTCAGCGACTTGATGTATCGGCTTCTGCAAAAGTCAATCGTGGGGTTCGAGACCTGGACACTTGGTGGCTTTCTTAGTGAGACCCTGGATAGACTACTCTTGGCGAGAAATCGGGTGACGGAAAGACTCGTCTGAGACCCTCTGGAACATTCTGCAGGATCTGGGTGACGAGTGATGAAGCGAAGTAAAATTGGATGGATATAGCAGCGCTGGCGACAGGAGTCAACCTCCTCGGAAGTGCAAGTGGGTCATTCGAGCTTCAAGTGTAGTCTAGACTAGTGGTGATTAGTCTACGACAAAAATCATCGGATCGTCAAGGCCCTCTAAAATACAGATGAATGATGACGATGGGGGCGTTAAGATATACTCCCTCCGTTCCCATATATAAGCGTGATTTGGGTTCTCCGAATATAAGCGTGGTTTGCACTACATGCTCCAAAATAATACTGGAGTAAGTCGTTAGGTCATTGTGGGACGTCGGGCAATTTCGGGATGTAATCACGTATCACATTGGACGGAAAAAAAAAAGGTCACAAAGGGAGGGGATGATCCGTTGTCATCCCCTGGTTGGTGAAATCGAGGAAAATCCAGCATAATTGTACCCAGCCACGGGAGAAACGAACTGCGGGTGCCAAATGATTCATGGCCGCATTCAATAAACAAACTCCCGGGCGTATTTATGGCAGGACCGCCCCGTTTTTCGAATGGGATAGCTCGGACATTAAGCTGGGGGGGGGCGGGGTTGGGGGGG